TATCTGCCCAGTTAAGTGGGCAGTCATCTCTAAAGTAATTCACCCATTCTACCCCACTCCCCTCCCAGAGCTGGGAGAGAACCCAGGAGTCCTGGCTCCCAGCCCCCCACTCCAATCCCATCCCAGACATGCAGCACATGGGGGCTGAAGTCCAAGGCCAGTATTTGTATACGTGGGTCACGGCCCCCAGCGCCCTCCCCCGTCCGCTCCCTGCCCCCAGCCTGGCCGGGACCCGCCCATTCACCCCTGTCCTGGGCCTGCCTGGGGAGGGAGTCAGACCCCTGGAGAAGGGAATGAGAGAAGGGGGCACTGCTGTGGGGAATCTTGCAGCCCTGGGGTACCTGGCCAGGGGCGCTGCCATTCGGAAGCTCAAAGCCATGGGGTACCTGGCCGTGGGCACTGCCGTGTGGAAGCTCACAGCCCTGGGGGGGTGCCCGACTGGGGGCACTGCCAGGGGGAAGCTCACAGCGCTGTGGTGGCCAATTGAGGGCACTGCTGTGGGGAAGCTCACAGCCCTAGGGTGCACGACCTGGGGCACTGCTGCGGGGAAGCTCACAGCGCTGGGCTGCCTGGCAAGGGGCACTGCCATGGGGAAGTTCACAGCCCTAGGGTGCTGTCACGGAGTGTGGGGGAGTCGGGGCCCTGCACCCCCCACTTCCTGCCATTCCCCGGGACTCTCAGCCAGCCAGTAACACAGAAGGTTTATTAGACGACAGGAACACGGCGTAGGGCAGAGCTTGTAGGTCCAGAGAACAGGACCCCTCAGTCAGGTCCATCTTGGGGGGGTGGGGAGCCCAGACCCCGGTGCTGGGCCCCACTCCATTTCCCCAACCAGCTCCAAACTGAAACTCTCCAGCCCCTCCTCCGGCCTTTGTCTCTTTCCCGGGCCAGGAGGCCACCTGATCTTTGTTCTCCAACACCTTCAGCTGGCACCTTGCCGGGGAGGGGCCAGGCCATGAGTTGCCAGGAGACAGGGTGTCGGCCATTCTCTGTGCAGACACCATCACACCTGCCCTCTCGGGCTCTGCAACAGTCACCCCCCCTGATCCCACCACCTAGAGACTTACGAACTGCAAAGGGGAAACTGAGGCACCCACACAGTATTCAGAGAAAATATTAAGAACATCCCCACTTCATCACAGGTGCACGGCTGGGGGCACTGCTGTGGGGAAGTTCCCAACGCTGGAGGGAGTGCCCGACTGGGGGCACTGCCGTGGGGAAGCTCGCAGCACTGAGGAGGTACTGAGCTGGGGGGCACTGCCGTGGGGAAGCTCACAGCACTGGGGGGGGTGCCCAGCCAGGGGCACTGTGACGAAGTGGGGATGTTCTTAATGTTTCCTCTGAATACTGTGTGGGTGCCTCAGTTTCCCCTTTGCAGTTTGTAAGTCTCTAGGTGGTGGGATCAGGGGGTGTGATTGGTGCAAAGGGCCAGGGTGCATAGGTGGCCGACACTCTGTCTCCTGGCAATGAATGGCCTGGGCCCCTCCCCCCTGCAAGGGGATGCTAAAGGTGTTGGAGAATAAAGGGATCAGGTGACCTCCTGGCCCGGGAAAGGAACTCAGCAGAGGAGGGGCTGGAGGGGGTTTCAGTTTGGAGCTGGCTGGGGACGGGGAGTGAGGGCAGACGGGGGTGTCTGGCTCACGGGACCCCAGAATGGACCCGGCTGAGGGGTCCTGTTCTCTGGACCGACAAGCTCTGTTTTAGACCGTGTTCCTGTCATCTAATAAACCTCTGTTTTACTGGCTGGCTGAGAGTCACGTCTGACTGCGAAGTGGGGGTGCAGAACCCTTTGGCTTCCCCAGGACCCCGCCTGGGCGGACTCGCTGTGGGAAGCGCACGGAGGGGCATATGCTGAATGCTCCCAGGAGAGACCCAGGAGGTGAAGCCGTGTGAGCTCCTTGCCCTGAGGACAGTCTGCTCCGAGGGAGAGGAGGCTCCCCAGAGTCCTGACTGGCTTTGTAGGGAGCAGTTCCAGAGTGTCGCCCGGGGACTCCGTGACAACTGGTGGCAGCGGTGGGATGTACGGCACCCCGTGAATGGCGCTTCTTGTGACTGGGGAGCAGTAAAACGAAGGGGGGATACCGAGGACCAGGCGTGCCGAAGGCTCAGAGGAGGGATGGTTTCAGGGGGCGATTAACCCCTAGGAGTGTGTGACCCACGAGAAGGACGTTTGCAGTAACAGGGTTCCCCTGGGGATTGCAGCGAGTGGTCCCAGGGGCGGAGGAGTCTGAAGCTCGACCCTGGCAAAGAGGTGGTGACCACGAGAAGGGCTGGCACACTAGGGGTTCTGCCTGGAAACCGTGGGGGAGCTGAGAGCACACGGGCCTCTGAGTCCAAAGTAGGGTGACCAGACAGCAAGTGTAAAAAATCGGGACTGGGGGTGGGGGGTTATAGGAGCCTATATAAGAAAAAGCCCCAAATATCGGGACTGTCCCTATAAAATCGGGACATCTGGTCACTCTAGTCCAAAGCAACTTGGGAACAGTGGAGTGATGGCCCATCACCATCTCCTCAAGAAGGACATTGTGATCCTGTGCAAAGAGAGGGTTACGCATTGGGAAGTTCACCAAGGCCCAGTTCATCGTGCAGCTGGAGGACGAGGACCGCTCTAAGGAGCAGATTCCTGACCCACACGGGGCTACAAGAGGATCTGGGAGCAGCTGGAGCAGTAGCCAGGCATCCCTGAGAGTCTGGTCCCCAACCAGACGGGGGTCTTCACGCTCGGGTTCCCCATCGGGGGATCGGAGACGGACGGGACTGGAGCTGAGTCCGAGAGAGCGAGAGGACCGTGAGAGAGAGCGAGAGCCCGAGGAAAAGCTGCAGGAGAAGCAGCGGCAGCATGGACTGGCGCTGGTGGAGCGGAGAGGCATAGGGGGCTCCCCAGGGGTGAGTGGGGATAGACCCCGGGCTGCCAGTTCCGCAGGGAACCTCAACACTAAATTGCTGCCCCTGGGTAAGGGGGGGGGAGGTGGATGCCCACCACACGGCCTTCACGCAGGCTGGTGATTTGAACCAGGGGGACCCTGCGGAGAAGCCCCGGTATCTAGCTCCCTTGCTGGGTCCCAAGGCCATAGACGCTGTCAGCCAGATGGGTGGGGTGGTGGACAGGCTCCCACTCCTGGCCCAGCCCTATATGTCAGTGTGGAGTCTCCTGGGCTCAGGCCCCTCGGACCCGCAGTGGGAGCGGAAGGTGGGGGTCAATGGGGAGACCTGCCTGGGGGGGCGAGACCCTGGGACAGAGAGAACTGTTGTCGGGCCCCGGGTGGTGCAGCCGCAGATACTGAGGGGCTGTGAGACCTGGGGGAAGGTCCCCGGGATGAAGCCCCTCGCCCTGTCTATGGCCCGGATCCCTGTGCAGACACAGGAGGGGTCGGGCTGGCTGGTCATTGGGGCTCTCCAGGATCTCGGCAGTGAGGTCCTGTTGGGGGATGACTGTGTCTCTTTGGGACAGGATCCAGGCCCCGCTCCTGTAATGGCCGAGGATTTGAATTTGAATCCAGGGAACCAATTGGCTAAGAGGGAAATGGTCAGTGAAAATGCAAATGACCTGGCTGGCAGGAGGGAGGGGCTGCTGGGCTCTGGGTACCTGCCCACCTGTAACCAGACCCCTGGAGCAGAGTGGGAGGGAGAGATGCTCCCCGCCCCACTGCACACCGGAGAGGGGGCTCACGCTGGCTCTGATGCTGTGACCAGAGCAGGGAGCTCGCTGCCTGCCCCCACCGGGACAACAAGGACAGTGCTGGGCACGGTGGAAGCTGAGACCCCAGCTGAGTGGGGGGACCCCAGCTGAGTTGGGGGGGACACAGGCAGGGCAGGTCGGCTGCCAACCAGGTTTGCCTGGTCCAGACGTGCTGCTGGGAAGTGATTACACAGCAGGGAGGGAGCGACCAGGGACAGGGCTCGGGGGGCTGTGACCCCAGGCCCAGCCAGCGAGAGGGAGAAGGTCCCACTCCCTTCCCCAGCAGCTGAATTCCCGACCGAGCTGCAGAGGGATCCCTCCTTGGAGAAGCTGAGGGAACTTGCTGGCCACAGCGCTGCAAACCCCCTTGGGGACGGCTGCAGGGACAGAGTCCGGTGGGAGAAGGGATTCCTGTACCGGGAACGGGCTTCCCAAGGGGAAGTAGAACTGTGGGGAATCGGGAGGCAGCTGGTGGTGCCCCAGGAATCCACAGGGTTCTTCCCTTTCGAGCTGCTAGATGGGAGAAGAGTGAGGGGACCCCTGGACCTGAAAAGGGAGGATTGGGAGGAGAAGGGGAAAGACCCCTGGGTGGATCTCTTCCCTGAGGTGGGAGCCAATCTCCCCATCAGGTGTTCCCTGTTCAGAGTCACTGGGAAAGGAGTCCAGAACCTGGAGAGAGAGGTCAAGGACATGCTGGCTTTAGATGTGATCCAGCCGTTCAACAGCCCATGGGCCTCACCCGTGGGGCTGGTCCCCAAGGAAGACGGGATGATCTGGTTATGTGGGGACTATCGGAAGCTTAAAGCCATCACCGTGTGTGATGCCTATCCCATGCCTAGGCCTGGGGAGATTCTAGACAAGCTGAGGGGGATGGAGAATTTGGCCCTGGCGTACGTCGATGACGTGTGTCTTTAGCCAGACCGGGGAGGAACACGTGTCCCAGGTGAAGAGGGGGCTGGGCTGCCTCAAGGAGGCAGGACTGATGGTAAAAGCCGAGAAGTGCAAGGTGGAGATGATCAGAGATTGGCCCATTCCCCAGACCAAGAAACAAGTCCAGGCCTTTATCGGGATGGCGGGGTGCTACCAGAGGTTTGTACCCCACGTTAGCCCCTAGCTGCCCCCATCCCTGAGCTATGTGAGAGGGGTAAGCCAGACGAGGTGGTCTGGACCGAGCAGGGCCAGAGGGCTCTCTGTGCACTGAAGGAGGCTCTAATCCAGGGCCCAGTAAATCTGGTAAACCCAGACTTTGCCAAGCCTTTTGCAGGGTTCACCAACGCCTCAGATACAGGGCTGGGCACGGGGCTGATGCAAGCCGATGCTAAGGGGGGAGACACCCCACCGGGTACCTGAGCCAGAAACGGCTGCCCTGGGAGCAGAACTATGCGGCCTCAGAGAAGAAATGCCCGGCCATGGGGCAGGCCCTTAGAAAGCTGCCGCTGTATTGTTTTGGGCGGCGTCACATGCAAGGGGCAGAGGCCGAGCTGCTGGGGACAGAGACACCTGTTCAGAGCGGGGCCAAGGTCAAGATGGGGGCTCTTAACCGAGAGCTCGAATTGCAGCCCTCCAGACTGGAGCGCTGGGAAAAGACCCAATCCCAGTTTAGAGCCCAGGGGTACTGGGGTACAGGCCTGCGACGGAGCAGGGCGGATTTGACCTGGGAATGGAGCCTGGGAGTTACATGGAGCTACCTGAGCTGTAACCTGAGCCAGGAGGGGGGTGGGGGAAGTGACACCTTCTGCCCGGGAGAGGAACAAAGGAGAGGAGGAGCAGAGGGGAGGGGGAGAGAGCTGCTAGAGGGATTTGGGAGTTTTCAGTTTTGGGCTGGGAGGTGCAACACAGGGAACCCCAAGCTGGGGTCTAAGCTCCCTGCGCTCCCCAAGAGGACTTGATTGAGGGGTCCTGGTTGTATCTACAAGCTCTGCTGTAGACTGTGTTCCTGTTCTCCAATAAACCTTCTGCTTTACTGGCTGGTTGAGAGTCATGGTGAATCGCAGGAAGCCGGGGGTGCAGGGCCCTGAGTCCCACACACTCTGTGACAGGGCCGCATAAACCTTTCCACATGCAGCCTGCAAGCGCTATCAAGCGCACCTGACCTAAAGGGGGGCGGGAAACTGGAAGGGCCTGGGGTAACTCCCACCAAGGAATGGGAGGGATGCGGGGGCATCCATGGGAACGTTGGTGGGTTCGAATTTCCCCGGGTCACTGGCTGAAGTGACCCTGCTCAGTTCGGTCTCGAAGGGGGGAGATGTGACAAAGTGGGACTGTTCTTAATGTTTTCTCTGAATACTGTAGGGTTGCCTCAGTTTCCCCTTCGCAGTTCGTAAGTCTCTAGGTGGTGGGATCAGGGGGTGTGACTGTTGCAGAGCCCGAGAGGGCAGGTGTGATGGTGTCTGCACAGAGAATGGCCGACACCCTGTCTCCTGGCAACTCATGGCCTGGGCCCCTCCCCGGCAAGGTGCCAGCTGAAGGTGTTGGAGAACAAAGGGATCAGGTGACCTCCTGGCCCGGGAAAGAGACAAAGCCCAGAAGAGGGGCTGGAGAGTTTCAGTTTGGAGCTGGCTGGGGACGAGGAGTGAGGGCAGATGCGGGTGTCTGGCTCGCTGCCCCCCAGAATGGACCCAGCTGAGGGGTCCCGTTCTCTGTACCTACAAGCTCTATTTTAGACCGTGTTCCTGTTGTCTAATAAACCTCTGTTTTCCCGTCTGGCTGAGAGTCACGTCTGACTGCGGAGTGGGGGTGCAGGACCCTCTGGCTGCCCCAGGACCCCGCCGGGGCGGACTCGCTGTGGGAAGCGCACGGAGGGGCAGAAGTTGAATGCTCCCAGGAGAGACCCAGGAGGTGAAGCCGTGGGAGCTTCTTGCCCTGGAGACAGTCTGCTCTGAGGGAGAGGAGGCTCCCCAAAGTCCTGACTGGCTTTGTGGGGAGCAGTTCCAGAGCATCGCCCGGGGACTCCGTGTCGTGACAGGCACTGTAGTGGGGAAGCTCAGAGCGCTGGGGCGGTGCCCGGCCGAGGGCACTGCACTGCAGAAGCTTGCAGCACTGGGGGGGCGCCCGGCTGGGGGCACTGCCGTGCAGAAGCTCGCAGGGCTGGGAGGGTGCCCGGCTGGGGGCACTGCTGTGGGGAAGCTCACAGCACTGGAGGCCAGGGCAGGAAAAAGATGAGGGGCACAAACCACACAGAGACCCGAGTTAGCGAACACTGTTATTGTGGGGGGAGGGGTACAGGCTGGGGGGGGGGCGGGGGGTCCCCGCTACGGGATAAAGGTCTCTCTCCCCGGGCCCCCCAGGTGCTGGCGCAGCCAGTCCTGCACCCGGAAGAGGCTGACGTAGAAGTCGCGGGGGACGTGGCCCCGGGGGGGTTGCCTGTTTTTCACCTCGTTCTCCTTTTGCTTCGAGGGGCAGGGGTTGTAGGTGCCCCAGCTCACCACGCCCACCTGGGGAGACAGACATGGGGATGAGACCCAGGTGTCCGGGACAGCCCCCTGCCCCCCACCTGCACAGCTCCCAGCCCTCGGGACAGAGAGGATGGGACCCAGGCATCCAGGACACACCCACAGCTCCCAGCCCCCGGGCCAGAGAGGATGGGACCCAGGTGTCCAGGGCATCCCCCCGCCCCCAACACACACACAGCTCCCAGGCCCAGGGAGAGGGAGGATGGGACCCAGGTATCCGGACAAGAAAGCTGAGGAGAGGGGCTTACCAACCTGGAAATATCTCCTCTTCTTCTCCAGGAACAACCCCCCCCCAGATTCACCTGCAGGGGAAACCAGAACTCAGACCCACAGGGGACAGATCCCCTTCCCTGCCCCCCTAAGCCAGCCAGTCCCTGCCCCCTTCCCTGCCCCCCCCCGAGCCAGCCAGTCCCTGCCCCCTTCCCTGCCCCCCTGAGCCAGCCAGTCCCCG